ATGTTAAAGATGTTGAAGATGCCTTCAATACTACCAATGATGGTAGTGTGATTAAGTGTGCCATAGCCAGAAATTAGGCAAACAGTGTATCATGCATCACAAGCAGGTTAAAAAAGGAAAGATCTAGTGAGGAACTCAGTAGTCTATTGATTACTTGAGGAGATTTTCTGTAGAAAGTATTAAAACTTTTGGCATAAGACATGTTTTCATCTTCACACATACACTAAACACACAGCCAACCACACACAGGTGAAAGTGTTCATTTAAAATATCAGTATTCAAAAATTTTGCAAAAAAAAAAAACCAGGGTAGTTGGCAAATGCATTAATTTTTTTTTTGTATCAGAATTACTAGAATGTTCTGAATGAAGGTTGCAGTGTCCTATTTTTCACTTCCAAACGCATAATTTCTTCTTATCCACAAGTTTAACCCAATCTCTCTGGTATAATGAGCTTCATAGGACAAGTACGAAAGCTGCATTTGCAATTGCCTGTGGTAAACTAGGGAAGAGCTAAAGTAGGCTGTTTAATAAAACTTGAGTGATTCATTTTAATAAATAGAATTTCAGAATGATGGCTATAATTTATAATATATTAATCAGTTTATTATTGTGCTTTGTGACAATGTTCTTATCACATTCAACATGATTATGGATGACACAGAATATTTAGTCTGGAACATTACACATCTCCCTGTTGTAATGATTCCTGCCAATGCAGAGTGCAAGTATTTATTAATATCCAATATTTTTAAATAGAAGATAAGAGGGAGAGATTCCAGACACTTTTGTTCCCTGACAAAAGACTTCACTACAATGGTTGACCAAGGACAAAATTTGTCTTAAGGTATGTACAAGCACAATGGAGGGATACAGGAACTTCTTAGTCAATGATTCAGCCCACCTAGAAGGGGTTTATGGTCACAAGCCAGTGTGATACTTGACTGATACACTTCAGTCAGGTGCTTAAAGGTTGATGGTATGAGTCTGAGCTTTGGGCAAGGTATAGATATTACTTATACCATATACATGAGGGTCTGACCATGCAAAATATGTGTTGACTTATTTCTATTTGAATGATACTAGGAATATACAAATATATCCTCTCTAATTTTTTTGCCCCAGGTCTTCTTGTTGTTCCACACCCTCACAAAAATGATGACTTCAGTAGTATCAATCTCCCCTAAATTATTTTCATAGCATATTTGGGAACATCATGCTCTGTCTGGAAATTATTATTGGCTTTGAGACTTATCTGAGTGAAGACAGGGGCTACCTAGAGATTTTCACTGTATACTTGTCTCTGTTGTTTGCTCTGAAAGTGTCCATGCGTGCTAGAAAGAACATACTGTCCATTCTCTGCATGGAGAGAGAGCAAACAAAGCTGCAGAGCAGAGGAATGATGAATCCATTTAATGAATAGCCACTGCTGGATACCATCATGATTTTGTGTGTTTTTTACATATAATATCTCACTGAGAAATTTTTCAGTGTAGGATCCAAATGGCCTCTTCTCTTACCATACTGGTATATTTAAAAAGTGTTAGCATTCTGATCTATCTAGTATGCATTGCAGTTTCTCTCTTTGCACTGTGCCATTCACTTAGTGTAGAGAACTGCCTTTTAAGGCTCCTGACAGAATGCCTGTGCTTTCTCATAGCGGCTGACACATTATACTTAGTTTGATATTTTGGTCTTTGTGCACATTTAAGGTGCCTAATTTTACAGCTGCTGGATTGACCTCTGCGTCCTGAAGTATTAACCATAAGCAACCCAGCTCAGATATGACCTGCTGAAATTCTTCATCCAGGCAGTCCCCAGTCCAAGCTGCCATCTCCTGTGGAGGCCCTTCAGACCTGAGCTTGCCTGATTCCTGCCCCTCTTCTCTGGGTCCCAAAAGGATTTGTCCCATTGCATGAGCAGAGATGTCCACTATAACTTGCATCCACAGTTCTCTACCATGAGGTAAACATACTTTCATCCACACAGGATTGTGGAGAGCTCATCATTTTTCATTTAACAACAAACATATGTGCAGTTTTGCTCGTGTTGACTCATCTAGGGAAACCTGTATTTGTTTGATAATGTAAAGCTTTCAAATGCCTCTATATGTGCTAGCATGGTGTGCCAGGGCAGGAGAGCTGGCCACCATCACTCCTCAATTCAGGATCACAGGCTGAAAGGCAAGAAGAGTTCTCATGAAGCTGTCTGGGTTGTATTAGATTGCAGCCAGCAGGTCAAGGAAAAAGAAGAGATTATTCTATTCTATCTGGAACTTCTGAAAATATGTCTCAGTTCTGGGCCTCCCAGTTCAAGAAAGATGTTGGCAAACTGGAAGGAAGTGTACCAGGATGGTGGTGGACTGTAGGGCCTGCAAAGAGATGCTGAAGGAACTGTGCTTGTTCAGCTTGAAGAAGTCTGTATTAATCCTGTCTAAAACACTTCACAGGGATATGGGGAAGACAGAGTCAGGCTGTCCATGGAGTCAAAGAGGTACTAACACAGAAAGTTTATACTAGGATTAGCAGTACGTGGGTTGTTTCTGTCTGTGACCTCAAGCATATGTTATAGCTCCCAAGGAGAGGTAAGGAAAAGAAGCAGGCAAAGGGATAGGGCACAGCTTTTATCAGACAAGTGACTTAGTTGGAAAAAAATGAGGAAGTCCATTCTAACAGGCATTTGTCTAGTCTTTCTTTGAACGTGTTTGTATTTACCGTGGTTTAGCTGTTTATGTTTCAGTAGTTGTAACATTAGGACTCAACAAGCTTTATAAAACACATGAAAAGAAGCCACCAATAACTTAATTTCAACAGGCATATTTAGGGTCCTATGACTAGATTTCTTTTTACTGAAGTAACAACGTATTCATTAAATTAGATGAGATTAAAATCAGTTAATGAAAACAATCAGAATTCCCTTTTATTAGCTGACTCTGCAGGAGAGCAATATAGTTATTTGTACTGTCTGAGCAGCATATAACACTTTGTGCAACTAAATGATGTTACTTAGACCCTGGAAGCAGTCAGCTCTTTAGAATAAATCAGGATGGGGTATCATTCTTAAAAAAGATTATATTTACATAGATCACTCCAAAAGTAATGCCTGCTATTTATTTCTATGGAAAATACAAACTGTCAATGTATCTGCCCAAAATAAAACATGCAGACAAATTCTCATCACCTCAGAATGTCTCTATGTCCTTCATGGATCTAATTCACCTGAAAAACAAGTCATGTAGTGCATCCGTTTCACTTGAACATTGTAGAGATAAGTATCTCCAAGGTTAAGATGCAAAGTAGTGTACAGGTCCTCAAGGAAAACTGGCTGTCATTTATCCACTGCTATTTAATGAATGAGATAAAGTAAAGACAAATTAAAGAGAGCAAAATATAAAAAGGGTTAAAGAGATCAGAAACGTACTCTGTATGAAACATTTTGGTTTTTACTTTTTTTTTTTCTGTTGGAACTTCATATCCAGAAAAGCTTTGTCTCTGTCAGTACCACATACTTCTATTGATAGTGTTCCTTACCCCATGGTAGTCAATTTTTGTAATGCTTTATTAGTTTATATAAAAAACAATAAGTAAAATCACCAGAAGAGTTACAACACTGATTCATGTTATTGTTATTGCTCATTATTATCATTTGTCATATGAGACAATGCCTGGCTTTGCATTTTTCCCCCTTTAAAAAGAGAAATCTGGCTCAGCTCTGAAGGCTCTAAACTGTTTTTTATACCAGCTGAAAGATGTTTATTACATTGTCATGTTTTCATATCCCTCCTGCTACCTTGTGAAGAACATACTTTTGCTCTGACCTAAGTGTGAAAATTCTGCAAGGTTTTGCTCTCTCTGATCAAGCCATCGATCCAGTGAGCTCAGCAGCATCATGTGATGACACTCAGTATCTGACCCAGCAGATTGTCCTCTACCTTTCAGTGCTGCACCTAAGCATGAGAGGCTCTGCATGGGGAAGGTTTCATTCCAACTTTGAGTCCTCATTCATGAAATTTCTTGAGTTTTGAGCTCTATTCTTTACTAAAAAATTGAATTACAAATAGTTCAATATTGCCTATCTTTATAGTTGTTAGCACAGTAGCATTTGATCAAGGGGACAAGTTGTAGGAGACATATGCAATAGCTAAAAATAACAACAATAGAGTAACAGTAATGACATCCCTACTTCCATATTGCAGCTGCAGTGAATATGTGCAGAACCCTGGCTGAGAGACTTTTCAGGCACTTAGGAGAGCGTTTTGGACTCCTGTGCCTCGCTGACTCCACAGGTTGATGGCAAGAACGTTGCCAAGTGTCTTCCTGAATACAAATAAAAATCAAAGAAAGTTCACCTTATGAGAACTTATACTCTGTGACTGTGGTCTGTATCTGAAAGCCTAACAAGCTCTGCCTTTTGTACCCAGCATCTGGAGATGTGCATGTTTCCTCTGAGTTCTGCCTCTTGGTCTGACAAATTGCATTGCCTTCTCCTAACACCCCTGTGCTGTTGGGACTGTCTATGACTGGATAACCAGTGGGATGTAGTTAAAAATACACTTCAGTTTCGTTATGGTATGAAAACCTCTCAGATAGTCTGCCTGGCTTTGCAGTGATGTCAATATTTATTGCCACTGTCACAGACCCATGAAGATTACACAGACTTGGTGACGATGTTGCACTTGTGGTTCATGTAGGGTTGTATAAAACACTCTCCTTCTGCTTTTGAATATGAGTGAAATTGCATCATAACCGGTGCCAGCAAGTCGGGTTTTTCAGTCACTCAAAATACTGTTGGGAAAGGAAGGGAACTTGTGACAGACATATCTGATCACCTGCTTCCTGCTCCACAGACCCTGCTGGGTATGGTCCTCAGAGGGGCCATTCTAATGCTGTAGTCCCACAGCTCCCTTGAGTCAACATAGGCAAATGCTGATGCTAAAAAAGGCAGTGCCAGCTTCCCACAGACCCAATCACAGTTTTTACTTTCTTTGTTTCCCCAGGGACTGCAAATAGCCATAAATACCTATGAGAGGAAAAAAAGAGCACAGTTTTAGCCCATCGCATAGCCTTGTTCCCCCTCATTATGTGAATGCACAAACATCTGAAAGAAGGGAGAGAGAAATGCCAGGGGCAGTAAGTAGGCACAGGTGAAGACTGAAAGGTAAGCCAGCACTACTCTTTCCAATTTAAACTGAATGTGGAAGTCACAAGAGCCCTTGTATTATGTTCTCTCAGGGTGGCTGTGCAAAAGCAGGAGGCAGATGTCCCTGGTTCATTACACCCATGTTAGGGATACAGGATGAAACCAAATTTCAGCCTCCAGAATAATGCTGTCAGAAATACTTAAGCTAGTCTAAACATAGCTGATGTGCCCTTCACTTACAAAGTGCTTCACGTTACCCACAATGATGTCTAAAATCAGGTACTGATAATTTCAAATGACCTTATATATATATGTATATATATTTGTATATATATATATACATATATACAAATAACCTCGTCAAGTTGCTCTTTTAAATCAAAATAATTCTCATCTTAAAAAAAAAAAAAAAGAAAATCTCTTGCTTTACAAAAAGTTTTTATGTTTCAGAAAATGATATTGAGAATAATATTTCTTAACAGTGATCTTATAACAGCACTACGTACAACAACTAGTTCAAAAAAATTCTTTGACTGAACTACAATATTTTGGCACTGTGACTAATGGAGCTCACTGCCTTTTCAATTAATGAAAGTTTGATTCTTTTAGCAATTTCACTATGATTAGATCACAGCAAGAACCTTTTCCATTCCTCATCCCTCTCACTGTTATCAAAACGCTTTTACTGTTGGCTTTTAGCCTGCCTTTAACTTTAAAGTAAAAGTTTATCAAAATTCTTGCTGAGAACAACTCTGAGAAAAATTGATTTTATCAGTGGCAAAACTTTGCTGATACAGGCAAATCCAAGAACTAATACTACTAATCACTGAATCATCACCACCACCACAACCACCTCATGCTTTTGGCTTTATTTTAAGGACTGTGATTGTGGTTTTTTAAGGACTAGTAAGAGTTAATATCAAAAATTGAGACAAAAATGTAATTGTTTATGACAAAATATTAGAAAATAGCCTGAAGAATCTTTTCATAGCCCAAGTAATCAACCTTCTACATCAAGATGGGATAATTGTCAATCAAGCTTTCAGTTCGAACACAGCTGCTAAAAATCAGAGAGAAGTAAAGCCAGGCACTTCACTGCAGTTTAAGCACTGAGCTCAGAAAGAGAGTACAGTATTACTGGCAGTAGTTGAGAACCTGGAATAACTTTGTGCAGTTATAAAAGCAATCAGAAAATAAGTCTGTTTTGGAAAGTTTTGTTTTACTGAAGCTGAAAATGTGTGTATTCATCTTACTGGTTAAAATGGTACTTAATGAGAAAAAGAGAGAAAAATGAGTCTTTTTCTCTCTCTCTCTCTCTCTCTCTTTTTTGTTTAATTTATTGAAGGAAAAAGGCAGTTCTTGATTTCCAATAGCAATTAACATTTCTTTTAATCAGATCTTATTAGTAAAAGCCTTTTCCAGGCTTAGTAGACTGAATAAACTTGGCTCAGAAGTGTATGAGCGCTCTGCAGTGATGCTCACCATTTCAGCATATATCTATATTTTTTTACTTTGCACATGTCTACTGGTTGTAATTTAGAATTACATATATGAGTACTGATAGAGCACAGATGTGTTTCTATATTGCTTTTGTGAACTGTCACCAGTAGTTTATATGTCTTTTTTTTTTTCCTCCTAGGTTAATATGTGTCTAGTAGAAGTTTTGTAATCTACTTTGAGTACTTACTGTTAAGCAGAATTTGAATAAAAATCTGGAAACCAACAGTTATCACAAGAAACTAATTTTTACTTTTATGTGCTGCGCTTTCATACACCATTATCATTTCTTATATCATTGTGTAATTTTGCTCAAATATTGATTAGTAATTTCGTAAATCTGAAAAACACAATTCCCAGGTGATGACCATGACCCTAGAAAAAGTTTTGAGAAAACAACCTCATTACGAGACGTACCTTGCAATAGATGTTTGTTTAAGTGGAAATCCACCAGAGCAGCTGCCCAGTGCAACGGTACATATTTGCTTCTGAATCCTTTCTCAAAGGCACTATTTAAACATGTTGATGAACTGGGCTGGATTTATCCCCACCTCCATTCCAGCAAAACAAGGAGACTCAGAAGATAAAATTTGTTTTGTTATTGCAAGTGGTGCTCCATGGTAAGTGAGAAATTTGTTTTCTATGATCCTATTGAAATAGGAATGTGAAAAGTTTCCATATTCCTGTACAGATGCAATGTCTGTGTGTACTGCTGCTAAGTCACATTTAAATTTGAAAATGAATGTACTTCTATTTCTAGAATTGTTTGTATATAGAGATCCTACTTGTCCATATTTGGCTTGGTGTTAAAGATCTGGCTACTCTAGCTTCCCCATTTTGGAAAGAAGGAAATAAGAATTACTGTGTAGAGAATATCATTTCAATTCAAGATATACAACTTGTTTCAGATCTGGTTATGATTTTTAAACTGTGAATAAGTGACATTAATACTGAGAATTTTATGATGTGTACAGCTGTACAAGCCATCACTTAACTACACATAGCATCCTTAGCAGTAACTTGTAGTAACTGAAAATTTTCAGTCACCCCCGTTCTGGACTTAATTCAGCACTGTGACCTAGAGGGGAAAGTTTGCATCTCCTGAGCCAGTCACACTTTACACTTCCTTTCTGGGCTCTGTTTTAGCTTTTCTTCTGCCAATGTCTGCAAGGGAATCATTTCAGCCTGTCAGCACCTGACTTTAATTAGCTGGAGAAGTTTCTCATTCTTGGAGCTACTTTCTGCAGCAATTCTAGAAATTCCACAGAAAGGAGTCAGGATTGAGAAAAAGGCAGACTATGAATACATGATGGCGAGGTGGTGTCATTCCTCCTTCCCTCCACCCCTGGCCAAAGATGTAAGTTGTCAGGAGGGGCTGCATCCAATGTCTCTTCTACTGCTGTTGGCAGCGTTTATGCATGTGACCAAATTCACTTTTGCATGGAAGAAGATTAGAGCTGACAAAATGGTACGTTAAGTGCCACAAAAACAGAACTGCTCAGGGCAGAGATGATGTTTTTGTAATAATATAGAAACAGAGTACAAGATGAATCATGTTGTTAAGATGTGTGAGAGTTCTTTGACACCTGTATCAAACCAAACTGGAAGTGTCCATCAGCTGCTTACTTTTTTATTTGCTTTGTCTTCACCTACACTGTCATTGGAGAGTAAATTGTGAAGTAGAAACATGGACTGAATCCTGAAATACTCATTTAAACTGAACTCTTACTACTGGCAAAGGAATGTCTATCTGAGTAACCCATCATACCTTACTGTTTTTACTGCAAAAGTGAAAAAAAATACTGAAAATAAAAACAAAAACAAAACAAACGAACAAACAAACAAAAGAACATATTTCTACTTCATCCAGCAATTTTGTTCCGCTAATCAGAACATTGCATATAAATCTGATTTGAAAGAAGGATAAAACTATGCCTCTTGACAGGACTTGTGTGTGTGGGGGGTCAGAACCAAGGGGCTGTTCCTTTAAATTTCAATATTTTCTTTCACATTTTAGCAGAATTTTCTGGTTATTTATTTATTTGTTTTTAATTAACTTATGCTTTTTCTCCTTTTTTTTAAAATGCCTTTAAGATTTATTTCTGAAATATTACTTTTAAATTTTCCAGGGTAATTTCTGGATAAATAAAAGAAAAATACCAGAAAATGGGCTATCGTAGGAATCAGTTGTTCTATCATTAAGGTCACAAATTGCTAAAAAAAAAAAAAAAAGCAACCAGGAATATTGTGTATTTTTTGATGCAGTGTTATGAAAATGTCTTTAAAAAAAATAAAAAAAAAAGCACAATACTTTGAGGCAAAATAGACAATTTTTGCAGTTTTTATGTTTTTTAGAGAAACTGGTCATGGTAGTTATGAAATCCAAACCATCAAATGTATCACAAATAGCAATCTTGACTGTTACTGCCTGCAAAACTCACCAATGGCAATGGCGTGATACTTTATGTCTCAATTTTTAATTCTGGTGATAGAAAAAGTGTAATGATAATTTTCTCCCTATTTCACAACGATTTTGTGAAATTCAGTTAGTGCCTGTAGAATGTTTTGATTGGTTAAAGTCTATGAGTACTCCTATGAATAATCATCTTTTGATTGCATGTCTGAACTTAATCTGCTTAAACTTTCTTAATATATTTCCTGAGAGCATAAATCTTAGTTTTTTTACACCTTCCCTCAAAATCTGAATTCTAACCTATAATATAGTCTATCAGCTGATATCTTATGACGGTCTGTGTGTTCCATGATTTGAAAGAGAATATCACAATATTGCCAAGATAGAGAATTTTCCCCTTCTCTGAACTATACTTACATGGATAATACTGCTGATTTTTTTATATGACTAGTATTATCAGGTTGTGGTTCTGAATTTTTGCTTTCTGGTACTAGCAGTTTATAGCAACAGGCTACAATCGTGTCAAATTATGTACTAAGAGTGTCTGTTGCATGACTTTCAAGATCTGGATTCTGTGACCCAATGGTATGCTATAAGATTTGTGGTAAATATGTACATATGATGTTGAATTTACAGATTTACCTAATTTTCTGTTGTAAGAATAGAGAAGGTAACAACAAGTCTTGCAAACCATTGAGGTTCACTAAGAAGTGCTAGATTTATAACAGAAGAAAAGTTATGAAAATGTTTGGTTAACTTCATAGTGATCCATTGTGCCTCAGAAAAGTAACCAATAATGTCACAAATATCACACTGGAATGACTTTCTAAGAAGAGATCTGGATTTCTCTCCATCTTTTGTAGGTTTTAGACATTATAGCGAACATCTTTGCCATCTCAAGGATATACACAGAATGTTTCTGCTTGATGTTTTCTGTGAGGAGACCAGGGAATTGAGGAGAGGTCAGGGAGCTGCTGACCTCTCTACCGGATGATGGAGGTGTGCTTATGGAGCCCATTTATGCATCACACATGGTATTTGTTGCTTTTCTCAAGACAGCACAAGGCTACTTTTTTGTAGCCACCTATTGGAAAAACTCATACGTGTCTTATCATGAATGAGATTGGCTGCAGTGCTCTACTCTGCTGGTATTAAATGGAGTTTCACCCTTGGGGACTGAAAATCTTTCCACTAAAGATCACCAGTCCTCTCCTTCTAGTCTTTTTTTCTATAGTTTTATACACACAAGTGAAAGAAAGTGACAAATATGCTGACTCAGTATCAGAGGAATTTCTTGGACATCGATGAATAAGCCTAAAGGGTCACCACCCAAAAACACCATCAAAATTACTTCAAGGATTATTCCTATGACTCCATTTTATATGAACAGACTTTGTTCGTGCTGGGTAACACCCAGCTTCTAAGTCTAGTTAAGGTAATATCTGAAACACATCTGTTGTGGTTTTATGACTTGACCCTTATGAATCAGAGTAAGAACTTTGGTTTTCAGAAACTCTCATTCATTTGATTTATTAGCTTCAATCCAAATGTACTTATATTTTTGCTATTATAATTTGTAAACCACATTTGCTTTCTTCCTCAGATCATTGCTGCTGTTTTTTTTTTCTTTTCCCTTTTGTTCACTTTCCCTGCTTTTTGGTCTGGTGGACTTCTGGGCCTGCTGTCCCTCTGTCACAGACACAGATCTAGAGATAAAACTGTGGCATCCAATTTCTCTCTTTCTGACTTTGGAAGTAAATTCTTAAAAAATATCCTTCCCTTCTTACCAGCTAATGATGCACATTTATGGTCTGTTTGAACTTCTTCATCCAACCTTCCTAACTTATGGGAAGGAGGTGTTTGTTTAGCCTCACTGTTCAGCCAATCCAGTAATCAGTATCCACTCTATACGCTGTCATGAAGTACAGAATAAACTGTTCTACTTAAACTTATACTTTTCATAATGTCAACATACAAACATATATGAAAATTCCTGTATAATTATCTGATTTTACAGACAAGTTGGAAAAGATTTTTTTGTCTTTTTTGACTTTTCCACCAATACTTAATCCCTGCATTTCCAAACAAAAATGGATGTGTACCAAAAATAGTTTTGATTCAAAGATAGTTTTGTTTCAAAAACATTGTTAGATATGAGACAATTTTGATGAAAGTAGACATTTCCTACCAAAGTTATTTTAGTTAAACTCACAAAATGGAAACATTTAATTATTTCAACACACAAATTTATACAAATGCATAACGTAGGAGTTATTCTGACACGCATGGGGGAATCTCAGAGAGAAAAACCTTCTCATAAAGTTACTTACTATTTTTCAAAGTAAACTATTAGAAAAACAAATACAGGACAAAAAGTTAAACATATTTTATTACTTCCAGCAATACATTTCTTTCTTCTGTGTTATTCTGGAGACAAACTCAAATGAAATTCCTCAGGAAGAATACACTGGAGTCTACAAGTTAAATTTCTGATGCCATTCAGTTAAATTGAGCCTTTAAATACGTGAACTAAAGACCTGATTCTTCTTTAAACAAAAGTCTCTTTATACCACTCTGACAGTACAGAAGGGCTGTAAAACAAGTAGCGCAATGAATGCCTGACTAAATGCCTACTGGCACAGACTGGCACAGTGAAATGAAAATTGACCTCCCCAATTTTTTATAGTATTTTTATAGGTGGAAAATGTTACGAATGTCATGGAAATCACTAACAACAAAAGAATAGAAACAAACTCACTAATTTTTATTTCATTTTTATGACGGAAGATTTCAGAAATTGATGGAAGCTGTGAAAAAATAAAATAGATGAGTGCAAAGTCTTCTATGGATTTTGCCTAGGAATAGTTTTCTTTCTTTTTGGAGAAGTTGCAACACGAAAATAAGTATTTATGATAGAAATGCTGACATAACATTACTAATAGCACCTCTACTAGAGATTGTTACAATGTGTATTTACTCAGGTGCAGCATTAAATAAGAGATGTGAACTCACCATAGCAACTCCTGCATCACATTGCAGATATGCTGCTTCTAAGATACGGCAAATGTTTCTGAAGAAATGTACCTGAATTTGAGGTAAACATCTATCAATTTCAAATTATTTTTCAAAATACTTTGCTATACAGTATAACAAAAAGTGATGTAGCTTGGCGTTACATAAATTACTGATTTATGACTGGACTTTGCCTTTTGTTGTCCAATGATTATTGCCTCAAAATGTAATTTTAGGCAGCTGCCCAATCTCTGCGAGCAAAATAGTGGCAAGAGCTCTACTGAGCTTCTCCAGAACGTCCCTATGAATTCTTAACCAGGAGTCTCGTCCTTTTTAGGCCTCCTTCTGGTGTCTCTCCACAAATACTACTGTTCACCACAAGAGATCCAACGGAATTATATGAATTCATCCAAAGTGGGAGATAGGTTTTCTGCTGAACTGTTTTGCAGCTCAATTTTAAATTTACAACTGTTTTCCCTTTATTATCTATTCAGTTTGAATTTTGTTCTCTAATATGTGTTTGTATTGTTTGACCTTACTTAGACTGAATTTCCATCCTATACATGAGCAAAATGTCTTGTTTGTTTGTTTGTTTGCTTGTTCATTTAAATGTTTAATCCTTTTAGTGAGTCTCCTATAGCTGATAAAAGCTTTTCCTCTGTTGAGTTTAATTTTGGCGCTTTTACTTTGGAGGCCTTTTCTTTAATGCATCCAGTATTACTTGTATCTTAATAAAAGCTTTTAGATTGCTACTGATGTATCACCAACTTCATCTTGACCAAAATTCTTGCTAGCATGCCTGTTTATATGGATCAAAAAAGCAAGATTTTCATGATGTCTGGTGGGTTAGCATGCCTGCTGCAAGGCAGCTTTTGCAGTCAGTTCTTCCATGTTCTTTACACAACAATCCATAACAGGCTGCTTCTGGAAGGAGAAGTAAGTGATCACAACTGCTTTAATCTTTTTTTTGATATCAATCAACTGTAATTTCTCTTCCCAGATCTCACTTGTACAGGGGATCATACATTTTCTCACATCATCTAAGATTGATTAAGAAGATTAATAATATTCTTTTTTTTTTTTTTTTTTTTTTTTTTTTTTTTTCTTCTCTTTTTCTTTCTCCTGCATTTATTTCTGTAGGTTCTTCTGTTACTGCTGGAGAGTTTTCCTGGGAGACACATGAAACATCTTTAGTCAGTTGGTTATGTGCTCAAGGGCTAAAGGCTTCTTTCCCCTCTGTATCTAGCCCATGGGAACTAAGTGGAAGAGGAGGAGACAGAGGAGATTGCTAGTTCTACTAAGTTACTACTCATATAAAAGCTTATCTGGTTATCTTTTCTTGCTTCTTCTCCTAAGACTACTTTAGCCTCCTTGCACTAAAAAAACTAACTAATTTGTAGTGAACAGGATATCTGAAGACATCTACTCTTTTTCTGGAGAAAAGATTACACAGGGTGTTGTTCAAAATAGTGGCTCACAATGGATACAAAAATGCTTCTCATTTGTGATTGTTGATGGCCAACATGGCCAACACAGTAAGATGAACCATAATGTACCTAGATGCCAATTGTCAATAGAAACACAGAGCATTATACCTACAGATTTCTTCTACAGAATATCACAAAACTAATAAAAATTAAGAGTGTTGCATGAATTGTCTATGGGCTTTACCTCTGAATTTTTATCCAATGTAATCAACAGTAGCACTTGCTTTCTACATTTCATGGAAGAAATCACTGTACTTCATGAAAAACATCAACCACACCTGGGCACTGCAATATTGCTTTAGCTCCAACGTCAGTTGAAGGCCAAATGAGAGATCTCTGCAACCCCACAATCTCTGCAATCTCTGCAAAAGATGTTACTGCAAAATATGTAGGTATCTTCAGTATACTGAAATTTCTCTGAAATGTCCAAGTTCAGAAAAGCAAATACAATATGATCCAGCAGTTATTGTTCAGACGTACTCTAGATTTATGCCCTCTATTTAATATTCTGAACTCTTTGTTAGAAATATTTTACGTCTCAGATATTAATAGTGAAAAATCTTGAGCTATGTTAAAACAAATTAATTTGTTAAAATATCAGTTATCAGTCTATGAAGATGTCATTGTTTTTGCCAGAAAAAAAATAATGTGAAAATTGAGCAACCAAATTGAGCTCTGAAACAGCTTCAGTGACAGAGACATAATTAAATAAATCTAAAAAAAAAAAATAAATTAAAACAGATATTAATATGCAAAAGTTCTATATTCTTTAATAATTATTTAAAAGAATTCTACTAAGCAGTATAACCTATTTTTTTGGCAATATTTTCAAAATATAACTTTTAAAGAAACCAGGATCTTCCTAAATGTAGAAGTTATGAAAAGAATCGTTTGAAACAGGCTCAGACATATTACTCTTTAATAATTCCAGTTTCTGGTTTGTCAGATGTGAGGTAGGAGTAAGAATAGGAGTATATGCTTGGATAAAATGCCCTTGCTATTACTGAGAAATACGTGCCAACAGACACAGATTAGGGTTGAAATGGTGCTGCCCCCAGATTACTGAAATTTATGTCTTTGAATGTACGTTTTTTTCGTGCTCAAAGTTGCTTTTTCTGTGCTTAGAAATCATAGACTTGTGCAAACTATCAGACTTTATACATATATATGTATATATATGAATAAGAATGAAAAAGTTTACTATCATGGAATATAGTTTTAATAACTTCCTTATGGCTAAAACTGATTTTTAGCTTACTGATGAATGTTTATCACTGCCTTATTTTACCAATACCTTTCGATTATTTTGAATTTCTAGGCTTCTAATGATTTAGAAAATAAATAAGAACTGTTTAGTGAAGTTTATTTTATTGTCAAAATTCTTGCTCTTATATACCTCAGAAACCAAGTTAAAAGTTTAAACTACTGCTGCATTTCATGAAGCCCTTGCTGCCATACTGGATCTCCCAGTCTTTGCCTGTTTGCTAAGGAGTGAACTACCCATTATTTTGACACGCTCCTTCATTTGTCCTGAGAATTCATGACATTTCAAAATAGGAAAATTCAGGAAGGTCTTCTCCCATGGTACAGAAATGCAAAAAACTGAAGTATAATGAAAATATTTTTAGTAACAAAATTGGAGATTTAATTAATGGCTCTAAGTGTATATACATACATGTATATGTATACACACAAAATAAACGAACATATTTCTTTACCAAAGATGCTTAAAAATCCTATGTCGAAATCTCCTCATGAAGCGCATCCACCTCAAATGTAACTTATTTCAATTACAGCACTGTTTCCCTACTGTATTTTCTATTTTCTTTCTCTCATGGAGCATTATTTATGTTCACAGTAACTGATGATCCACAGCAACAAAAGGAATGATTCCCAGCAATACTGTGTGTTCCATGCCCCAGACCCAAGCAGCCTTGACCATGGCTCGTAAGCCTATCTCTCCCCTACCTTAGGACTTGGGTGCTTCTGGTTGTAGCTCAACTCTCCATATGACCCAGAAATCTGCCCTCTGAAGACCCCAGAGGGATGGATGCCTTTCCTCCCAGAAGTACTGCACTAAGATGCATTTAACCTCCGATTATTACTGTTAGTGGGTATAACACTTGCTGCTATTCTGATAGAGAAACACCACCGAAGGTTGCCTATGCCAGGATTTACAGCGCACTTTCCAGCTAATTTTCTTTGAGATGCTCATGATGCTCAGTTTTGACTGTGCTGTTGGCCAGCCTAGGGATAATGTAAACCATGTTCCCATGGTCATACAATGTATTGCAGAGCAACCTAGCAGTGCCTTAGCTTCCCATCTTCTCCAACCCTCCTTTCCAAGTAATAATACCTCTGCAATTCTGTTTCTGTGGAAAGGGTACCGTTTGTTTCCTTTTTCTCTTTGGTGTCTATTGGATTTGGCATTGGCCTGCTGATTGTCTCTTATGGTGACATCCCCCACAAGTTAGATACTGAAAACTAGGAATTGTTGGTTGTAGTTTTCAGATGTCTGAAATAATAATGCAAACTGAACTGATTAGAAAATAATAAAAATCTAGATTATGATTAAAGATTTAGGTTTATACACTCACTGTAGTTGTAGACATGTAAGTAGTCAATGCTAGTATAGCATAGTATCAATGCTGGCTACGATTTCCCTGTATTGACTTGAGGTCCTTCTGTTTAGCAGTCATGGGGGTATATCTGTGCTGTTATTCGTCCTTGTCAACATAAATCACTAAACCCTCAACAACCCGTATCTAAGTGAGCCAAAGGTTTGCTTATATGGCTATCCAAACAAGTGTGACAGAAGTGTGCCATTTTCTGTAACCAGTGACAGACAGAGGTGGGACATGACCAGCAATGCGCTCGGCTCCCTTTGAATCCATGACCTGAATAGACAAGGTTCTATTTATAACTGGATTTATTAAAAATGAGATTTGGCATGAGCACAGGCTTTCGCTTGGACTTTGATCTCTGATCTGAAGGGGAGGTCTCAGTCTCAACCTCTTCCCCGAATGAAACAGCAGCCACAACAGTGAGCCATGGAAATATCATATCTCACTATTCATATTGGTATAGATATTCATTGGGTACACCATGTCATTAAAAATCAAGTCACATCCCTCTGCCTTATTAACTTTGCATCACAAGAGTTTATTTCTTCTTCACTTTTCTTCCACCTGCTTTACTTCTGATTGAAAGAATCTGTTCCAAATATCATGAAATGTCATTAAAAATTACTGTTTTATACTGCTTAAATTTTTATTTTCCTTAACATCTCATTTCTAGTTTTCTTTTTAAAGAAAAGTTGGTGTCATCTTTGTAAAAATTAAGTGTCAGCATTTACGTGGCTTAGAGTAATACCACAAAACTTCCACTGTTACCTCTTTAGATTTATGGACAAGATGACAATTTTTTTCTAGTTCTGTGTTTTTGTGGTGCTTTCATTTAAAATGTTTGAAAAAGAATGATTATTTCCTTTTTGTGGTAAATATTTCTTTTTAGACATCACATAGTAATTCCTTATCAATGGACTTTGAAATTAATGAGCCTAAGAAATGGATATAGTATTGTATAGCTTACTGCTGAGTATAAAATTCATTCCAGTCAAGAGAATGGAACACAATGAGTCCTGGACAGATATAGGAAAACAGCTAAACCTGTCCCATTGACTTACTGATACAAATGGTCCATTTTAAATATTGTACTTCAAAGTCATATCTGTCAATTCATATTTCTTCCCCTACTTCTTTTTCTTTAAAATTTTACTTTCAGCTATTTGATTTAAAGGAAAAAAGAGATCAAATTCTCTTCATTTATCTTTTTACTGGAAATATTTTGGATAAGTTCTTTTTGTTCTTGTTTTCCCTGCCCGTGCAGTAATTTTTGCATAGAATATCATTATGGATATATTTTGCAATGTAGTAACGGGTAACACAACACAAGCACATTCATTCTCTTAATTAAATGAGCTATAGCTCTTTGGCTGAAGCAAACAATAATATTATTTATAACTCAAATTACATTATATAAAGTGTGCTCTCATCTATAAAGAGATGACATGGTAGGGTTCTGTGTTTGCTTTATTACTATTTTTTTTCTTCCCAATGAGTTTCTTGTAGACCTCTCTTAATTTACAAATAAAACCATGACTTTTGTGATTACCAGCAATGAAAATTCATCCAGAGATCTTAGATCAAGCTGTGTTTTTTCTGGTTTATGCCAAAATAGACTCCAGTTCACCTCCTCAGCGCTGAGGTGGCTCTTGGAGGGCTGGTGGGAACAAAAAGCAATAACAGTGCTTTTGCCAGTAAAAAGATGAAGTGAACAAATTCTTTCAGAAGTAGGAAGACACCAGTTTTCAAGTCAGCTTTATAGAAAACAGCCGTTGTTTGAAACAAATGCTCATAGCAGGGTTGGGTGGAAAGGTCAATTGCTTGATGTTCCTCTGCAGCCTTCCTTCATTTCTTCTCCCTTTTGATCATTCCAGCTCAGCATGCATTTGCAGTGATTCCTGAAGCTAAGCAGCTTGTGGTTTGGTTGCACAGCCTTTTTCCCTGGTGGAAGTGCTGGACTCATGTGTTTCTGCCCTCTCCTAATTGCTGGCATGATTATACTTGTGGTGATACAACTGTGTCTGGGGCTGCTCCATGCATTTGATGGAACTGATTTTTGTGGCAGCTCTTGGGCTCATTGCTTTGGAGCCAAGTCTCCAAGACACATTGGCAATTCTATCTTGCTCACCTTCCATTGGCTTTTCTTCTTGCTTCAGGATTTGTGGGATATCAGGTGAAATCTAGGGAAAGCAGTTTCCCAATTATTTTTCTCAAATCCCACCTGAAGACGGAATTGTGCACAGTTCTTCTCACTTAGCTGTAAAACTCTCCAAAATTGTATGGTTTTTGTTGCTGTTGTTGTTGTTGCTTGTTGTTTCTTTTCTCTCTCTCTTTTTTTTTTTTTTTTTTTTTTTAAGTTACTCTCCCACAGCATAATTGGCAAATTATACCTTTGCTCTGTCTGATGGAAATACCATGCTTTGGAATGATCTATGAAGGCTGAGTTCCGCCATGCTGATGGAGTGCCTACCTTCCTTTGGGAACTTGGCATCCCAGTAGGACCCAGACACAGGACCTAATGCTCTCCAGCCATGGACCCATGAAGGGAGAGAGGCTCCTCCTTGCTCAGCACAGGGCAAAGAAGTGTGGACATAGCACAGCCTTTTTAAAATCTGCAGTTTAATGGGACCTGGACAGAAGTGAACACATTTACAGTAAACATATCATCTCTTTTTACCTCTGAGATCAATGTAATTTATGTATTATGGCATCTGTTATGTAAGATCTGTTGCAAGAACTTGTGATATCTGATGGATAAGGGGCAAAGACTAAGTCAAATTTTGAATATTCGAGTTTTAGTGCATTCTGTGGTAACCTCCTCCCAGGTTTATTGCTCTGGTTATACAATTGCAGATGGTCTCTTTCTTAGATTCATGGCAAAGGGGTAGTCACTAATTGCCCTGAGGCTTCAAGCTCTGTATGTTAGTAACTGTACAGGTGTAATCAAAGGATACTCCTTAGGTCTAAGTGCCAAAATTCAAATGCTTACAAACCAATGTCCTTTTGATTAGGATGAACTGCACCTTTACATCATTAGAGGCAATCTTTGCATTATATGAGTTGTGAGTCATCTAAATTAGAACGATCCTCAGAATCAAAATTCTCTCCTTAGCTTGATTTTTAATATTCATATTACATCAGTGCCCATTTTGACATCATACAAACTAGTTAGTGATCAGCAAGCTTAATCCGGTTCATTTGATTCACATGAGTTGTCTCATGGGGGTTAACTGAAGCACTAATAAGAATGATATAAACAGGGTTACTTAATTCTTGCCTAGACAACGTTAGATCGTTTGATTAGATTCTTTTATTCCCTTCAAGGCCACCAACAAAGACTTACAAATATCTAGTTTGATCTACAATCAAATTTACAAACCACATACATTTCAAGGGAGAAAAATAAAAAGGCTTTTTAACATGAAGAGCTTAGTGCTCTTAATGACAGAATGAGGACAGAGAAATACTAATAGATTAGTATAATTAATTAGGCAACTTAAAAAAATATGAAAATTGCATTCATAAGGGAGTAAATTCTGCATATTAATTGAATATTTTGCATGTATTATTTGCAAATGTATATTTTTCCTGAGGAAAAATAAATGCTTGCTTATTTAGTTAAAAGATGCATCTAAATATGTACATGAGAACATTCAGAACAGATTGAAGGACACCAGAAAAATCAATTGTAACATTTCATGACTTCTTATTTATTGACATGGCAATTCACGTTTTTATTATTTTAATCTTTCTTTCCAGGTGAAATGCAGTTTGGGAAGACAGATAATAACACTCAATTTCTACTCGTCATTTTACTGATGGATAGTCTAGAGGAGGTAATTTTTCTATTAGTATAAATATATATTGCATAAAGAAAGCTTTATGAAAGAATGTTAAGGTTTGTGGAGTAATCTCTCTACATCAAAGAACACTTCTAGAAAGGATTGCACCTGGAAGCATGAACTTTGTGAAAAACCTGACTAACAATCATATCATGATGGTTATTGGTCAACATAGAACATGCAAAACCTTCCTCTCTTCCCTCTCCTCTCCTCTCCTCTCCTCTCCTCTCCTCTCCTCTCCCGCTCCTCTCCTCTTCTCTCCATATATATTAATACCTTTTGTTCCATAATTTCCTACGTTCTATTGCTGTAGTAATTGACTGAGATATTGGTAAATCAAATGACCTGTCGCACAGGCAAATCTTGGCAATTGCTCCAGGCAGTTAGAGGTGGCCAACTCTGAACAGTCTTCCAGTGTGCACAGTTTGCTGAGCAAACATGAGGTAGGGAACAAAATCATTTATTTTGACCGAATAAGCAATAGCTGCAGTTGGAAAAAAGATTCAGTGAATTAAGATTAGGCATGCAACCTTGGACATTTTCTGCCTCTTGGGTAAACAGCTATTACACTTTGCTCATTTGATTAAGTATTGTTTCTAAGTCACCTTTCTTATTTTGCCCTTTAAAAATCACACCAAAATTAGCCAATATGAAAAATTTGCATCTTTTGGCGCTTCAAAATTAATTCATTTTTGGGAAAGTGTGATTTTTTTACACTCAGTCCAGGCAAAAAGCTACCACTTTGTTTTGCTCTAACTTTCCAGGAGCCCAAATGGAAATTTTTAGAAAGAGGAAGTTTTCTGAGGCTCCTGGTATGTGGTAATGCAGCAGAAGCAGATAAGGCATTGTTGTGGCATTCTGAGCTAATGTGCTCCAGCACCCTTATCATAGAATCATAGAATCATAGAATGGCCTGGATTGAAAAGCACCACAATGATCATCTATTTTCAACCCCCTGCTATGTGCAGGTCACCAACCACCAGACCAGGCTGCCCAGAGCCACATCCAACTTGGCCTTGAATGCCTCCAGGGATGGGGCATCCACAACCTCCTTGGGCAACCTGTTCAGTGCATCACCACCCTCAGAGTGAAAAACTTCCATCACCCTTACAGTTGGAAAATCAGTCTGTGCTTTTCTTTGGGAATCTTTCATTACTTTTTTTTCTCCTCTGAGCCCTTCCTTGTAGCTCTCCTGTGTTTTTTGTTTTTTGTTTTTTTTTTTCTCCTGTGAATGTATGTTAGTAAGAAAGAAATGATAGCATCACTTGGTGGACAAAGGAAAGGTGAGGTGGGTATACAAAAGTAGAAACGTGCAATAAGAAGATGTTGGAACAGATTGAGGAAGATAAGCGGGCTGTAGCTAAATTCAAGCTGATATTGGAATGAGACAAAAACAAAATATTTGATGTGTGCCTGTGGCAACTATCAATATTAATATGAATTTGTGATGACTGTTAGAAGCATAAAACTAGGTGAATAAAAATTGATCACAGGATTTATACAAAACATTATGGTGATTTAAATCCCTATGAGCAGTGTTTACTTATGTCTTTGGGTAGAATAATGAACCTTTAATTGCAGGCAAGCAATTTTATGTCAGAATAAATCAGAACCTGAGTGCAGCGATTCCATTTATCCAACAGTGGAGTTGATTTTGGCGCTCATTCAGCTTTCTTTAAATTAAGTTTTAATGCAAAGCATCTGAAGCACACTTAATAAAGACATTAGATACAACTCATACACAATGAAATGGTCCCCTATCCTCCCTTTATTTCCTTTAAACTCAAACAGAGCTTATTTTTACAGCAGAGATCCATTTTTTGATCTCTATGAAACAATGAGCCAAACAAAACAAAACACACATACAACAAAGGTGGTTGATTTCTGAGGCTGAAAGGGTAAAATGCAGAATGAATTCTTGCTCCAGGAATGTTTAGTTAAGCATTCAGAAATGTTGCTTTATAAAGGAATTATACAGATTAAATGGTCTGGAACAATATCATATCAAATGACTGATGAGCGTATTTTAAAAACAGAAGATCTTAATTTAGAATGGAAAAGAAAATTATATTTAAGAATTTATTTTTTCTAGTTTCAGTGTATGTTAAACAAGATGTGACCTGTCCTGAACTTGAGACTCACTTGAGAAGTAATACAAAATGTTATTAAAGTACAGGCATGCTAACAGAACAGCAAAATCCCATCTCTGTCAATGCTGAGGCTCCTGAATGTCTCAGGCAGCCCCTGCCGGAGGTCCAGAGCTAGCAAACTGCCTTTGTGTATTACCAGAAGATGTCAAACACCTGAAGCAGTATGAACTGGAGGTCCTATAAGGTTGTTTTTTTTAAAAAAAAAAAAATTAAAAGTCAGATTTTGTGACCTTTGCAATGCAACTGGAAGAGCACATTTGTATTCATGGGAGATGTTCTGGGCAGTGAGGTAGCTGCTGCTGAGGAGAACCTGGGGTGTGGAGGTGGTGGTGGGAGCTGCTGACCAGTCCAATATTTTGGAGCTGGTATGTGGATGGGTCCTACGTAACAGCTATCTCTGGTGAAGAGATAGGAGGACTTTTGTGTAGCTGAGCTAGAGTCACTGGGGTGACAGCACTGTCTTCTTCCCATTGAGGAGGATGAGTCGAGGGGGTTGGGGTTGGGGATGCCCCCAACATCAGCTGGCTGTCATGCTTGGCATGTGTGCAGCTGAGATCATAGTGAGGAGCCTGTTCTTGTTCTATCAGTATTCCATATTATAACATGACACAGGCTGTTTGGGTGCAAAAGCACAGTGCACTGCAAAACTGTGTTTGCTGGTTTCTCTAGCAGCCTCACATGAGTTCTGACTCTCTAAGAGGAAGATACTCTGGGAAGTACTGCATTTCCTAGGAGCCTCCACATGATTTCCTATTCTGCGTGTTGGGTGAAGGGTTCTCATGCCTCTTCTAGGAGGTGAAACGTGGAGGGCTTGCTGATAAAGTCTCAGACTGACTCTTCTCTGGCTTTATTTTTGGTTTGTTTTGATATATTGGTCTGAATTATTCTGTATTATCTCACATTCCTTTTAATAAATTAGTTTCTCCTGTCTCAGTTGTTTTTTTTTCCCTCTTCCTTCCACCTCCCTCCCTTTCTCCCAAGGGAAGAGGGATGTGTCGTGTGATTAACTCTTCAAATCATGACAGCCTCCCTGTCAGCTGCAGGGCTCAGCACAGTTTCAGTTTGCTGTGTTGTAATGCTACTGCCCCAGCAGCTGTCAGAAGCATCTCACTTTCCAGATATCAGGCAGAGAGATGACTGGCAGCAGAAAGCTGAGCGTCTTCATCAGCCTTCTGTCCTTGTGCCCTTGCAGAAACTGCTTCGTGCTCTGGAAAATAGGAACGGGTTAAAGCATTCCTTAGGAGAATGGGGCAGGTTTTGATACGCATGCTGGTTAAAAAAAAAGCATGTCTTGGGGGGTTATTGTGCAGCTGTTAATGTCTCTATCAGAATTATAAATATTTGCTTAAACTAGGAATGGAAAACCGTAATCGATGCTACAAACCAAGGAAAGGCAATTACAGTGACCTTCCAGAAAATAACAGTCTAAAGAAAATGAGGTAGTTCTAACTTTGTGTATGAATGTTGGCAGTAAATCAGAGGATATTAGGCAACATTGTCTAAAAATACATTCTCAGGTTCTAGTGGCTGATATTTGATGATGGCAAAAAAATCCCCTACCACCAAGCACCTAGCCTCCTAAAAATTACATTGAAGTTGATAACAAATTGCAAATGCTTTGGTTAGAATTAAGTATTGAAGACATGAACAGGATATGTCTACTGTTTTGTACTGCCTCATTTACTAATCATGCCATCTGCAATGCCAAATTACATGTAAGTTTTTGTTTGTTTTAGGTTAGACTTGGGAAATAGTGAGCATTCAGAAAGAAATCCTGAAATAAAAGATTTATCATTTCTGTTTCAGTTTAAGATTTATTGTATCATCAAAATATTGTCACTTGCAGCAACTGGATAAGATAATGAGGATGACCTTCATGATTTTCTAGCATTATCAGAGCAAGGTCCTTCATATACATAAGTCACTTCCAAAATACTGCCTCCTATTTATTTCCATGCAAACTACAACAGTGAGCACAATAGCACTATTTGGTAACACAAATTTTCAGCTACAAAATATTTTTCATCACTGTCACCACCATTGGCTGTGAGTTTTCACCAGTGATAAACAAGAGCCTATATGCCATGCTTATAAAAATCTGCATCAGCAGAAATGACCCACTGTTTCACAGCAGCTATGATGATGTTGTTGCTAGGAAAATGTTGCTGATGCAGTCCATCTGTACTGACCTGCACAGATGGAAGTCAGAAGGCACCAAATCCTGATTATACGATGAGTGTTGTAGGACAGACAGTCCAGCCAAAATTGGAAATGTGCTCCAATGTCATCAGAATGGTATGGGGCCTGGTGTTATCTTATTGTTATCTTAATGCAAAAGAAAGGTTGTCTTCTTCTCTGTCCTGACTATGGAATTTAGAGCCTTCAGCTTTGCAAAGTAGCAGTCAGAATTGATGGTTTGTCTGGTTTCCAGGAAATTCAGAAAGATCATCTCTTTGCTATCTCAAATGACAGTGAATATTATGTTACTTGTTGAGGGCTGCATCTTGAACTTTTTGTTTTATGAGAAATTCACATGTCACACTCCGTGGACTGCTGTTTTGACTCAAGCTTGTAATGGTGACATCACATCTCATCACCAATAATGATGCGATCCAGGAAACTGTCACTCAGTCTTGTATTGGTTCAACAGGTCGCTACCAACATGTATATAGTGGTCTTTCGGATCCTGTGTGAGCATTCGTGGGACCAACCTAGTGCAAAATTTTCACTGAAGCTGTATTCTTCTCCATACAATGTTCCCTGGTCATAATCATCTGATTTGCACAGATGAGCTGACTGAGACACTCCATCCACCTCCTAACTGCACTCACATTCACTGTTTGTTCTCCGTAAATGATCAGCATCGAAGAATGCCAGAGGGTGCATTTTTTTTTCTGCATGGAGGAATTCAGTGAAACTTTGCCCCATACACATTTCTATGTCAGAAATTTTGTCCAACTGCCCCTCTGCTGCTATCTGTCACATGGCAACAAAATGTAATAGAATATTAGTGGGAATGTTCAACCTAAAATGATAGAATCATAGAATCTTTTGAGATGAAAGAGACTCTTACAGATCATCTAGTCCAACCCCTCTGCAATGAATGGGATATCCAAAGGTAGAACAGGTTGCTCAGAGCCCTGTTCAGCCTGACCTTGAATATCTCCAAGGATTGGGCTTCCACCACCTTTCTAGGCAACCTACTCTAGTGCCTCACCACCCTTATATTGAAAAACTGCTTCTTTATAGCCAATCTAAAACTTCCCTCTTTTACTTTGGAACCCTCTCCCCTCATTCTGTCACCACAGATCCTGCTAAAGATTCTATCCCCTTCTTTCTTATAGCCCCCCCTTCAGGTACTGAAAGACCGCTATCAGGTCTCCCTGAATCCTTCTCCAGGTTGAACAGCCCCAGCTCACTCAGCTTGTCCTTGCAGGTGAGGTGTTTCATCTTGGGATAATTTTTGTGGCTCACCTCTGGATGTGCTCCAACAGATCACATCTATGCTGTACTGAGAACTCAACATCTGGACACAGTACTCCAGGTGAGGTTTCCCCAGAGCAGAGTGGAGGGCCAGGATCTCATTATGCTGGCCATGCTTCTTTCAATGCAGCCCAGGATATAGTTAGCTTACTGGGCTGTGATGGCACACTGCTGGTTCACATCCAGTTTGCCATCCACCAGTACCCTGAAGTTCTTTTTGGCAGGGTACTGCTCAAACCTTTCTAGGTCTTTCCAGATGGCATCTTTTCCCTCAGGTCTGTTGACTGCTCCACACAGCTTGGTGTCACCCGCAAACTTGATCCCAACATCTATTGCCATACCACCAACATTTGCCTCTGATGTCATGGGCAAGCATAATAAAAGAGGAGGCATTACTTTTGGAGCTGCCCTCTGCAAATTTTATTCTAAAATTTTGAATGTCTGTAGTAATACCACTCCAGTCTATATTTAAACTGTCACTAAGTTATCTTTAGTTGCAACAGAATCCTACTAATTCTAGAAAAAAGAACAACTGCTGAGTGACGTACTTGGGGTAAATGCAGTATTAAAAGTTTTAATTTAAAAGTTTTTATTCACAAATTGACATGAAGTCTCAGCAGGACTTCAGGACAAAAACTGAAGTTATTTGGCATACTTTATGTATAATTGGGCTCATTAACTGCAAGACTCAGCACAAGTCACATTTTCCAAGTAAGATCCTGATGTACCCTACTTCACCTGGACACTTTCTAATTAATACTGAAATACATATACAACTCCCAGCTCACTCCATTGCCCAGCCCCCATCATTCCTTAACAGAAGTTTAAGGTTGTGTGATCAAGCACCTGAAGGGCCGTGCTCTCAGGTCATGCCCATTGCACAAGCATGCCTAATGTTCAGTGCTCTGGTGTTTCCATGTTCACTGTTGCTATGCCTGCCAGTGTGGAGGTAGCAAGTAAATCCTGGAAAGTCCCAGTAAACTTTTATCAAACAGATTTGGAACATTTGGCTGCCAAACACTGTAGCTGTTATGTGAACTAAGCCTGCAGCTCTCAGGGAGCTTGTAATCTTCTGAGCCTGTAGACATGTCAGTATTTGATCCAACATGACTCAAAAGCACCTTATGGGTTCAGTTGAAACTAACTGTAAGTCAAAGTCCAGTTTGGCAAAACATCTGAGCCTAAAAATACTCTTAGAAATTGTAAAACCTGGAAATGTTTCTTCTGCAAATAATTAACAGAGGGCATAAAATTTTTTATTTTGAAACCATTGCTTTGTTTCGAAAGTGACTGAAGTGTTACGGTGAAGTCAAGGAAGAATTAAATAAGTTCAGAATAAAATGATCAATTAAAACATCTAGTTGGTTGAACTGCCACAGGCTGCTCTATAGCCAGTATGTAGAAAGCACTAACGTGCCAGTCTCATGTCTACTGGGGAGAAAAATAAAGCAGACATGTTTTGTGTTATTCAGCACCATTTCAAGTTATGCTTTCACGGAATTGAGTCTGATAGACTACTTCATTGTGATTCATCTGCCTCGGCATGCTGAAGAACAGAAAGCAAACAGGTTCAGAAGAGAAGGCCATGACCTCATCAATTTGAATACCCGCCCTACTTTGTGGCTGTCATTAACCTGCAGTCGTTGACCAAAGGAATCATAAATGTTCTATTACAAGTAGTGACTGATATACTGGCTTTAAAATCCACAGACATATCTGTTAAATGAATCAGCAACAGTTACTTTGACTACAGTTACTCAGGCTTTATTTTATTCTGAAATATGGTATGACCTGGCGTCTATTTCACTTGCCCACACGGAAGTAATGATATCCAAAAGTGGGAAGATAATAAAATGCACAAAATTTATCATAATTATTTCCAATTATTGCAGTTAAAGGAGCCTTGAGGATTTTGGAGTAGAAAAAGCCCATTCAGGCATGCAGTCTGAAATAAATTCAACATTCCGTTTGTATGTGGAGTTGAGATTATAGTCTGCAGCTCAAAAATATCTCTTCAGTAGGGAGAGCATGTCAGCACATCCTTGATTATCACTTCTATGACTTGGGGACATGGTGCAGTACAAATAATATAAACATAACATTAAAATAGCAAGAAGAACATATCCTATATGCGGAAGAAATTGCAAGGTGATGTCAAAGGAACTAAAGATATCTCAAGGAAGTGCCAATTTCTCATTACACTAAGATGGTGCATTACACGTAGCATAAGAAAAAGAAAACATATTTTAAACTCTTTAGTGTTTGCAATATATTTGGTATAATTATTTTATGTTCAATTTATGTGTTTCCTACAACTTACTATTTCTCTTGTTGTTGAAAAGTTTTTTCCCCTCCACTGTTTCTAAGATCCCATTTTATCGGTGGTTGTTTGAAAAATCAGATTTCATTGATGTCTGAAATAGCAGAGAAAAATATCAATTGCAATCAGTTCAAAGAGATTTCATATATGTGTAAGCTGATTTCTAATACCATATAAAATGTTTCCACATAAAACAACTTTTTGCTTTAATAGAAGCACAACTATTTCTATATTCCTTACCATAAAATCTGTCCAAAATTTTTGCATGTGGATGTTGCTATAAATCAAATTTTGTCTACCTGGTGTTGTTACAAAGGAGAAAAAAATCTGAATAAGGAAATTCAAGCCATTACCTACACAACTGATAAAACGTCACAGACAGCATTTTAAGACCCAAGAAGAATCTAAATATGAAGACACGATGACAATCAAGATTGTGACCTAGTAATTCCCTCAGGTAAATATGGTTGTGACTTAACTTCTGCTAAATGTTGATGTGTGCTTTAAATCCACTTATTTCAAAATTATGTAAGAGAAAAATTTGATTCTTTCCATATCTGTACCTTTGCAATTTATATATATATATATATATATATATAAAAATAAATCAATACTTCCAAGTTCAAGGGTGCCAGGTGCCAAATAATTTCTGCTGAGTAAACTTTGTGTGTTCTTTGAAAGATTCTTCCGTATTCATTAGCATGTATGTGAACAATCATTAGTTTTATTCCTTTTATCTTTTGGGCTCCTATGCCTTGATACAAAGAGAACAGAGGCTGGGGTGCCCACAGGAAGAAGAAGAATAAACTTTAGCAAATGGAATGATATATCACTGTTGAAGGGTTATGAATGTTGGTTGCATTTTGCTTAATATTTCATCTCAATGCTGCTTCAAAACTGGTTAGTATTTAATAAATCATTTAAAGATTATTTTGATTGCTTGTTAAAACCTGTCATTCATGCTAATTTCTATTCATTTGAATGTTAATAAAAATATCTTTACATGCCAAGGATCCAACAGAGCTTACTTTTGCTTCTTAGAAGAATTGAGCACCAAAGAGAGTAAAACAGAAAAGTAAATTCCAGTCAATTCCATTTATTCACAGTACTTTCTCATGAATCATCTCTCTATAGTAATAGAGAGAGCAAGTGAAAAGTTCATTGTTACATCAGCTGCCATCTACTTAGTCAATTTGGCAGCACCTTGGAGTCAATAAAAAGTAAAGTATGATTGTAAAGCCTCCTGTCCCAATTGTTTTTAAATAATGTCTGCTCCTTCAAATTAAAATTCCTCAAAAAGTGGCTTGCTCTTTGGTGCAGCTGTCTTTGTTTAATCTCCTTACTTCTTTAGCTGGTTCAACTACGTTTGTACATACTACAAAGCCACTACAATTTGTGGCTCAAATAAATTCTTAAAGTTCTAGAATTTGTAATGGCCCTATTTTTAGAAAATCTATGTAACCCGATAGAGAAGATAAGAATTCAGAAAGCATGTTTAGCCTCTAGCCTGATGAGCTTCCTTTGTTTATATAACAGATGCGTTTTTCAAATTTCAATAGAATATAAGTTACAAAGCCAATGACTCTTTCACAGTCAGAGCAATAATTATGCAGAAATGATGTGTTTAGATGGCCTTCTGTAGGCAGAAGTTCCTTTGTTCTACTTGTGGCCTGAGTCAAACAGGAGCTGTATGGCCCAAGTTAATGACTTATCAAGCTTGAGCAGTTTGCATTAAATGCACACACATGTCTTTCATTTGGGTCAGCACTCCCAAGAGAAAGCATGTGTACCTCCAGAAGACCTTGTAAGTATTGATGAGGATATCACCTTGAGTCTATCTCTGTGTAATATAATTAATTGAACAAATGGTGCAACAATGTTTTGCCACAAAAGAAGAGACTTGAAATATTGTAGTCTCTATCGCTATATAAAGATATTAAGAGGAGGCATTGGAGCTGGGATTGTCCTGAAGTAAAGTCTCCTTTTGCCTTGAAGCCTATTCAGGAATGTTTAAAGCAAAATAGTTTTTGGAAACCTCAGCTATCCATTACTATGCAAAATAACTGAAGCAAAGAGGTTCTTCATCGTCTCTAGGCACCACGGGCTGAGCATTGACTGCTTGTCTTTATCTTGCACTTGTCTCCTTGGGTGGAGCCATATCCGTGCTGAGGATCATAGTTTCCTTTGGGAGACAGCTGCACCTGGGAAAGTGGTTCACACTCCCATGGATGTGTTGTAGCTCCTGTCTGCACAGAAGTGAGGAGCACATCTGGGATCACCAGGACCACAGCAGCAGTGGTGATGAATCCAGAGGGCAGAGCAGAGCAAGGGCACATAGGAGTGCTTCCCTGCCCTAGGACCTCCTTTGACCTCAGTCTCCCTTCCCATTACTTATTACTTTATTTTAGCTGATACTGGTTTAATGCAGAATGAAGAAATGGTGCTTGGAGTCAAAACTGTCCTGTTTCACCACGTGTTGATTTGCACAGTCATGTGTCCTTTTCGCCACCATTTGCCTTGGTAAATCACAGGTTTTAAAGGAAGCATCAGCTCATCTTACATCTCTAACACCTATTTTGCCCCTACATCAAGTAGTCCTGTGTCACCAAGATAAAAAAGTATTGATTTGTATTATGCATGCCCTTAACAGGATAACTTAAAAATACTTTTGCAAATAAACATTGGACCAAGAAATCCTCGTTAGTCTTTGCAGATCATACTGAAAATTATTTTTAGATGAGTTTTATTTCCTTCATCTGGGGAGAAACTGAGCATTGACTTCTGCACCTTCCTACACAGTCTTATCCAGATTACTTTGCAAAAAACACAAGTGGTGAACTCAAATAATTTAATTAGACTATCCTGAGCAAACCATACTAAGAAATCTAAATTCAACGCCTGGTGTGCCTACAGTAGTTTTATACCAAAAGTTTCACTACCTCATATTTCAATCTGTCAGATAATATTCAACACTATATATTTTTCTTCCAAAATGCTGTTATCCTGCTCCAGTGGTATTGTAAAACATGTCAGTTTAGACAGCCCAGAGGAAACAAGAAATGGGACAGGTCTACACCCAGGAACAGCTACTGCTACTGCTGATACAATTTTGTCCAGCTACAGCACAAGGATAACTTTTCACGAAGTAGGAAAATCTCAAATTCCTTACAGACATTATCTCCCTTACCCAAATGTGGGAAGAGAGAAGGAAGCTCTTCAATGGAAGAGAACCTCCCATGAAAGTTTGGCAGGTGTTGCTGAAGATTAAGGATGGCATTCCGAAGTGTCGCAGAACAAAGGAAAGGAAGCTGTTTATTTCACATCCCTTGTTTAGCACAAAGACAACTTTGCATCTGATCAAACCACAAGTGCATTTGGTACAAAAATAGATTTTCTTCTCAGTACTTAACAAAACGTAGGTTTTGGCACAAGTTTATAGGGCAAATTTTGCTTTTCATTGTCGAAAATTGTTGTATTTAATGTTTCCATACAGTCAAAACCATTCCCATTATTTCTTTACCACTGGCATTTATACGTGACCATGCTGAAGAGGTTATGCACGTGCCACATAGAGGAACCAGTGATGCCTGGCTAAACTATCTTGGCATAGGCAAGTGTGATCTGGAAAAGAACAGACATTTCCTTTGCTAATGAATTAGTGCAAGCAGTTGGACAGAAACAAGCTGTAAAATGCCAACTCAGCAGGAACACTTCCTCGAATACATAAAAGCTGTTCCTTTACACATGGCACAGCAAGATCTCTCCAAGAATTTCCAGGCCAGTATTCTTGCTTTTCAAAGTTTTTTCAAATGGGCACAAACCCTCCTCTCTTGAATGCCCCAAAACAAACAGAAAGGGATGTAAAAATTTAGAAGCATCAAAATATTAAAATCATCAGTCATGCAAAGCATGACTGGTTAAACTGGAAGAAGTGTCTCCTTGAGATTTTGCTTCTATCCTGAGTATATTTAAAAATAAAATGTCTGCTATTGCTGGGAAAACAAATATGATAAATCACAGAATCATAGAATATCCTGAGATGGAAGGGACCCTTAAGGATCACTGGGTCCAACTCCTGGCTCCACACTGAGCTCCACACTCCCGGAGCACACTGGGATATTTTAGAGTTGATCAAGCATTCAAGCATACAGCAGCTATTCCTGATTGCCTCTGGGATCTGCTGCCAGAGCACCACCTGTGGCTTTGGATTTAATTTTATAGGAGACACGTCATTCCTACGTGAAAGAAGGATCCCCTGACAGGTTCTGGGATTAAAACAGCTCCTACTATTTGTGAGTAAGCAAAGTGAGTAGTCTGTGAAAGACTTATCCTGGCATCACAACTGGCTCTACTGTGGTCATCTCAGCTAAACCTGCTGTGCTCGTGAGTTCCAAAAGTTGGTCTGTAAGGTGACCTGCATGAAGATGCCCTGTATAAAGATGTCCTGCAATATGTGGAGCAGGACTGGCAATAGAAAGATGGAGGGAAAAATGGGAGACCAAGAGGAAGAGAAATCAGTGAGGCATGAAGATGGGGACACCTAAGTAGATTGTATCTACTTAAAAAAAAACAATTATATCATAAAATATGCAGCAGTAAGGTAAAGAATGTGCCCTACTGTCATCAACAAATTGACTGCAATACCCTCTTCTGATCACAACATTTTTGACTTACATAGATTTCACTGATGCTCATGATAAGAAGTGTTTATTTTTTTTTTTGTCATAATGATGCCTTAGAAAAACATGTATTCTATTCCTGCTGAAATTTTCCCACTGAAGATAAAATTTATCTGAAGAGTTTCCATGGAGTATTTCTACATGGTGCTCCAGTGATGGAAGTTTTGCTTTGACTATTTTTAATGGCATTTTGTTGACTCACTTCAATAAAATATTTTTGTTTTCTTAACTGAATCAGTGTTCATGTTAAATACTTTCACAGCTCATTTCCATTTGGAACAAAAATGATTCTGGAATTTCCCATGAGATAGATTGTGTAGTTTCAATTTGCATAACAGTTATATTGAAGATGCTATCAAAGTGCAAGGTATTGCTTAATAGAAGAATGACCAGAAAGGTATCTTCTGATAATATAAATTAAAAAAATGAACATTTCCAATTTTAGAGGGAATAAGATTATAGCTAAGCCTTTAATTAAAAAAAAAAAAAAAAAAAAAAAGCTTCATGTATTTATGCTTCATATTATATGATTAAGGTCCTGTCAAGAATATGAGTGGAAAGTGGGACTCTGCCTATGCGCCGAACCCAGTTCAGATTCTACACCCAACCATAGGGGCACTCAGCTTTAGATGGAGCCTCTGTGTCTTTTGGATCTCTGGCTATCTAGGTCCATCTTCCTAGGCACATCTATAATTTTCAGTGCAGAGTAAATCAGTGCCAACCTTTTCTTCCTGAGAGCATTTGAGTTCTAGAAATGTAGTGAGCCTCTGCATACATAAATTGTCAGACTTATCCTGTGTGACAAAAGTGAGTTTCCTTCAAAGTTAAGATATTTCAAGTATTAATGGAGATAGCAGTGGCTTTTTTTTTTTATA